TGTAATTGCAAACGTAATTAATTATCTAATGTGCATTGTAAAATTGAAAACAATTCTGCCTCATAGAACGGCTGCTATTCTGCCTAATCTTTCAAAATTATAACCCCGTGGGGATCCGGGTTAGAATAGGTCCTCAGTACCCCCTTGCTTGTCGTAAAAGGCGACTAAATGGGGCGGTCCTTCGGATGAGACCGTATAAACCGAGGCCCAGTGTCACAGCAGGTGTGGCACGATAAAGATCCCTCCCTGCTCAAAGGTCGTAAGTGCCGAGCATAAGCCTAAATTTGCAGCCCTTCACCGGCAATGGTGACGTCTCCATATCAGTGAAATATTCTGGAGAGGGACGTTAAACAGTATACAATCAATCGGTCAATCAAAAATTATAATGCTGCGTCGAACAGAATGATACATTTTGACGTTAGTCATATTGTGACGTTAGCAACATGCTATACTACTGTATATGTCATTTTTAGCCACTAAAGTGATGCAATTTAAGTAGAATCAAAATAATTTTATTTTTGAGCTTCGTAGACAAGTTATGGTGGGTGGTGTTGATACTGCATAAATTTCAATATAGCTCCAAAAGTAAGGGAAGCTGGTGTGCGCCGTCTATGGGGTACTAGTAGATTCGTGGGCTCAATTCTGACAAACTATTGTATTGATATCTTTACTACCATGAAAACAGTGACTAGAACAAATTTTCCAAATCCTAATTTTTTTTGTAGGTGACAAATTTTGTATCAATCATTATTTATTTATTTTAATGTTTATGTGTTAGATGATAAATGTATGTATATTGTACTTATGATTCTATGATAATACCAATCTGATTAAAATCAGATCTTTGTTACGCTCCGAAATTCTGATAGTCGCTGTACAAAGCCTATCAGAATTTCGGAGCGTAACAAAGATCTGGCCTGGGGGCCATAAAAGTTAGACGAGCTCACTTTTGATCTCAGCCTCACTTTTCCACTATATATTCCTTTTTGTAAAAATCAGAGTGAGACCAAAAGTGAGCTCGTCTAACTTTTATGGCCCCCAGGCCTGATTTTAATCAGATTGATGATAATACGTAAAATACATGTTGATAACCTGATAGGGTCCTCAATTATACCTACGACAACAATTATTTCCACCTTCTTTGGAATCGCATTTGAGAGCTCGAGAGTCTTATAAACGCATCTGAGATGATATTTTGTTTGTTAGGAAAGAGAGAACAGTAAGCTGAAAGCAACATCCCAATCTTAAAAAATAGAACTCACGACAAGATCATCGTCTGACCGAAGAAAAGTAACCAGTTCACAAATAATCTATTCTCCAGCAATTATCTAAGATGAGTTATGTCACAAAAGTCTTATATTATTTTAGAAAAAAAAATAATATATTCATGAAACAGAAATTACAGAGGTGTCATTTTTTTTTTAATTTAAAAGTCGTAAGATCTTCTGTATAAAAGGACCACGTACCTTTACAATTTTAAAGCATAATAATTTGTAAATACTAGTAACAGATATACTGGTCTGACTCTGTATGAAAAAACTTATTTCCCAACCATGCAAAGGAGAACACATCGGTTGTCACCGATTGACTAGGGATGCTTACTACTCCATGGCGCCTTATCCCACTTCTGATGCTTATAGGTCCGATTTTGCTTTATTTTATGTTTAATGGATTTTTAAAATCTCGATTACTGTTCGTTGTCTCCATATATTTCATGTAGAATCTTACCAGTGCTTTTGGGTCCAAAGTACATATAACATAAGAGATTACTCGTCAAGAAAGTTTGATACCAAGGATTTTTAAATAAACGTTTCTATATTAATAAATTTGATTTAAAATGAGTTATTTTGATATCAGTTTAATAAAAACTTATTTCAGTTTCTTCAAAGTATGTGACTGAAATGTTAATTGGTTTAGTGCTTCGGAAATAAGGGCTTCACAATCAGTAGTCAAGCTCCGAAGTCCATTGTAACAAGTACAAATCGGGAACACAGCATCCAGCACCACTAAAACATCAAAAGTAAAAATAAGGTGCCATGAAAGAGAAAGGCCATCCTTCTGCTCATTATTATAATTGGGCAAATAAAAAAAAAATCCGTAGATAATTCATTATCATTAACGAAGCCGTTTATGCATAAAATTATCACACAAGCCAATCGATTGATCATCGTTCATGAAATAGAAAAATTGAATTGAAAAATCTGACAGCTATTCCTTATATTTACATGCTTTTGATTCCGCCAATCCACGTGCTCCAAGCCCTGCTTCTGTGTAGCTGTTTGTCCCGCCCTGCACGTGATTTTTTTTAACCGCGCCTATTGATGAACCAATACACTGATGGGAAAATAAAGTACATTTATCATTTGTAATTTTATCTCGGACAAAGACATTGGAATTTTAATATTGCTGAAGTAATGACCAAACAAAAAGTAAAAACGTCATTCATCATTCAATTTAATGATAGATTCAACTTGTATTTGCTGTCAAGGTCATTGTATGGATTCATAGAATTAACTCAAAAAGAGACTGTTGAGACCTTGTCTCATCAATTTGCTTGTCAATAGTTTGCCTTGTTTCAGAAATTGTTCGTACGAAAACTATTCTCTTGCATATCGAATCAACTGGTAGATAAAAACCGGATATGCTGGTGAAAAAAAAATGTTTTTTGATAAATAATTTCATTTTGTTTGTATTCTATACTCCAAAAAGGAACACACATCATTTCTGTATAACCTAGTTTGGTATGGAAACATACCCCTTGACAACGATTTGAATCATTTGTATCCATGTAATCCCCTCATATCCAGTCCTTGGGATTCATGGAAGAGTGCAAATTTAATAAATACACCTTCAACTTCAAATAGTAACTCGATCTTACCAAATGTGAACAAACAATATGGCAACTAGACTAGATGTATGTATCAGTTTTTACCTCCCCCCTTCTCATCACTTCCGTTACTACGGTTGTATTATTTAAGGTAAATCTGATCTTACACTTACAGTTTTTTTTTAATTGTTTTTTACATTAAATCATAAGGAATGACTCTTATTTTTGGCCAAATTATTCGAGTATATGTAATCTGGTCTAGTCAGTTTACACTGAAATACCAACCAATTTTAAAAATTAATAACTTTTTAAAAGTGATGCTTATTAATATTATAATATAAACTGATAATTTGTGGAGAAACCTGAACAAAAATTCTATAAAATTCTGCGAAAAAGAAGACACATGTTTTCTTAAAAATTTATTTTGAAGATACTTTCATCCTGACTAGAAAGGATATTGTGCTGCTTATGACGGATAACCTTCATATCATATACCCGCTAAGATTCAACATCCACTGTAAAGTACGACAGTGTTCTCAATGTAATGAAGGCACAGAATACTACTGTAATACGTGTATACATGACCCGTGTCTCCAGTGTAAAGAGAGGCATGTTATTGACCTTGATACCATAAACCACGATGTTGTCATTTACCGCGAGATATATGAATACATCCCAAAACAAGAGACTTGTGTGAAACATCAAGACAAAATATATGAAATGTTCTGCAAGTCATGTGATTTGCCTGTATGTTTCAAATGTACAGAACACAGAAAACACCAAATACTGGACATTAGAACAGCATACAAAACAAACCATCAGCAACACAGAGAAGTCATCTGTAACATCAGAAGTGATATTCTTTATAACAGTTATTTTTTCCTAACAGGAATCAAAGCTGATAGAGAAACTTGTCACAGAGAAATCTCTCATCGTAAATCAGAGATGTCTAAAAAGCCAAAAGACTGAAATATCTGATGGACATGGAGATATGTAATATTAAAATAATACACAAACATATCATAATGATTCATAGAATACAAAAACAGAGGAGAAAAATGAAGAGACACCTTGCCCGCATAGAGAATTGTGAACACTGAACAGTCAGCCAACATACCAATTAAATTCCTTTATTTCCTAAGGAAAACCCGTGTTCACAGGAAAAAAGACACTAGATCTATAAATCTTACTCAAAATGTCTTCCTTTCCTTAACCAAGGAAATCAAAGTAGAAAATGTGATGGAATTATTGAAAGAAATCCAAATCCTAGAGATAGGAAATAGACAAGTTAAAAATGAATATATGCTGAAACTGAATTCTACACCCATATTACACAAATCCGTTAGAATAACAGGGGTTAGTAATGTAAGACACATTTCATTTGTGACATCAGATCAGGTCTGGGTCTGTGATGAAGAAAACAATCTCATTTTGACAAACACCAGACGTGATACACTACATCATTTGACAGATATAATTATTGGGTTCGGCGTACACACAACAAATAATACCTGCGATCTTATTTATATAGACAGGGAATTTAAAATAAAGAAACTTTCTAAAGATAACAGAACAGAATGTACATTGATCTCGAAAAAAGAACGAAATATTCCCTGGTGTGTATACTGCACCCCCTCTAATGGAGATTTACTGGTAGGGATATATAATTGTGAAACAGATAAATTAAAGATTGTACGATATAACGAATCAGGACAATACATACTGACAATAGAAAACAGCTACAGAGGCGAGGAAATATTTTATGTACCTAGCTACATCACAGAGAACCGCAATGGTGATATCATTGCAGTGGCGTAGCATCGTTTTTGAAAGTGGGGGGGGGGGCAGGCAGAGAAATTTTTTTTTTACTTACCTGAACAAGTTGACAAGGATAAAAAAAGAAGAAAAAAAAAAAGGTAAAAGTTGCCCAAAGTCGAAAATCCTATTTCGTGGGGGGGGGGGGGGGGGGAGGGGGGTAGGTAAAATCCAGTTTCAACTACTTTTAGTACCAATTCTTATACTACATTTTCGGTACATTTCTAAAAGTGGAGGGGGCCAACCACGCTTTCAATTAACATTTCCTATAGTGTAAGTAAAGTTGGGAAAAAAAGTGGGGGGGCCAGGCCCCCCCTGGCCCCCCCGGATACTACGCCCCTGCATTGTGACAGATTATATGTCAGGAGCTGTAGTTGTGACAGATCGTACAGGGAGATATCGCTTCACCTATACAGGTCCTCCATCTGGATCAAATCTAACGCCACGTGGAATCCGCACAGGTGCGCTGTCGAACATTTTAATTTGTGATGATGAGACATTACAGATGATTGATAAAGACGGCAACTTCATGTTACAGTTACACACACAACAACAAGGGTTAAATGGACCAAGAGGTGTAAGTTATGATGACAAGTATCACCTCCTCTGTGTGGGATCGTGTAAAAACAACACAGTGGGTGTTTACAGATTTATAGAGAGACAAACATCCTTCACAGGTATGCCATTCTTATTAAAAAGGTTAATTTTATATTTATATATATATATACAAATATACATTAATTGTTGAAAAACAATCTGAGTATGCAGATGCTCTGACGCTGATATTAAAAATGTTGCTAAAGTTTCTGGTTGACAATATCTGCATGATTTTTGAAGACTAGGTCTTCCAAAATTCGATTGGAATTCCAATGGGTACTAATTGCGCCCCTTTAAAAAAAGATCTGTTATTGTATTCATATGAAGCAAGATGTGTTCAAAATCTTTCACATGAAATAAAGAAAACGCTTGGTGTGCATTCAGATGTCGACAACGTATCGTCAATTAACAATGTTTTTTTACTAAGTATATTCTAGTGTCGACAAAATAAACTTATGTAAGTTTAAAATTAAACATTCATTAGAGGCTGAAACATCTGTTTCAAACTTAGATATTTTTTTTTAGAAAAAACGTTGATAGTTATCTTACTACAAAGTGTAATAATAAACGTAAAGACTTTAACTTTTCAATCGTCAACTTCTCTCACATATGCAGGAAAAAAGCTTCATCGCCTGCTTACGGAGTTTATATATCTCAGACGATTCGATTAGCAAGGACATGCTATACGCACATGTATGAATAATTTCTAAAAAGAGGTTAGTTATGGACAAACTGGTTGGTCAAAATTTCGTAAATTCTATGGGCCCTACACTGACTTTGAAAGCAAAAACAATCTATGATTAAGTCAAATGTTGCCCGGCTTTATACATGTTATATTATACAGTTATTGACTGGGTATATAACATATATATGTTGGACCTAAAAAAATGTTTGAGGCCGCAGGCCAAAGGCAACATTTTCACCTTCAGGTCCAACAAATCATATGTTGCCCGAATCCCAGTCTATAACTGTTTTGTTATACCCTTCACTGCTCAATTAAGATTGATCAATTAAATCAATACACGCTATATCATCATATTTACATGGAAAATTATGGCTTCTTCAGTAAATATAAAACATTAAGCTGAGAAAGAACAAAATCAATTATATATTAATTGTATCACAAAAATTATTTAACACAAAACATCCTCTTCCCTTCTTCCTTACCTGGCTGTTAGCAACGACTCTTGTAGCTCTTAACCTCGGCTATTTTCGCGTCGCCGATATTGAACGATGATTAATTACTTGTGACGTAACAGACGAGTGACGTTGCGGTCTAACAATTCTTATGTAAGACCGGTCAATAGTGAAATTGTTAGACCGATGTAATAAACAGTTCTTTTGTTGGACTTTTTATAAGTAATAAATATATAGAATGATATTTAGAAGGGTATAACAAAAATATATGATTTTTAAAATCAGTATGAGAAGAAAGCAGTACAGAGTAAATTACAAGTTCCTTAATTTGTAGACTTTCATAAAAAAGTGAAACTGTAATAAATTGATACTCATACTTGTTCCCTTACAAAATATTTTGTGTTGTTTAACGCCATTGGAAAGTCTCTAATTTTCCTTCGATTATTTTCACTTTCAGAGGTTCACGCAGCGACGCATTTTGCCGGAAAACGATTCTGACATGCTACCTTGAGATTTTAACCACGGAAACTTGATGTGTTTTGATTTGAGGGACAACTTACTAATTAAACTTTTGAATGCACGTCATATAATATTTTATATAGAATCGTGAAAAATGTTAAAGCTAATAGAAATATCACAATTCAAAACCTGATTCACGAGCCTCCAGTACACAAATAAAACTTTAACTAATGCTTTATTTTTTCATTCGATCCAAGTCCTTTTAAATCGACGATGCATTATTTTTGTCTTTCTTTTCCTTTAACTTTTTGTTTACTATTCGGAATATTTGCCAATATTATATACAGTCTCTTCTATGCGCACCCTGAGTGCTCTGTATATTCCATTGTACCCAGTAATCATCGTCAACAATAGGCAATAGGAATATATTTAAATAGATAGATATTATTTAGCTTGAGATTTGCGTTCATAACTGAGACAAAAACATGTTCAAATGTGTGGAATTTAGATGGTTGAACTCATATTAGGTTTACAGGTATGTATAACTAATGACTCTTATTAAAAACAGACTAAATTCAGTCATTTGCAGCCATTTATAATTTCCATGAATCACAAAGTATGTGTCAATCTGTATGATGAATTAATAAAAAAGGGTGGGAGAGATATAATGTTTGAATTATTCATTAATAGTTGTAGGCTCATGTATGTTTTGTATTTCAAATAATACTGTTTTTGTCTCATGCATTTAAATTCAAGCTTTATACATGTATATCCTCGCTTTAATATTATACACCGATAGAAATAGTAATAGGAATACCATCTGAATTTTTCCAATCTCCTTTGTAATTATTGTTGAAGGTTTTATCCTTTTTGTATAAAATTAACCAGCCTTTTTTGTTGTTTTACCAGTCAGGCCAAAATTAATAAAGTAGAATTAAAATAAATATCAATTCATCTCAAAATGAGGAGAAAAAAATCATTTTGCAAGTTTTATGGTCCACACAATGGAGACGTTCAACACTAAAACCTATCGTTAAGTCAAATGCTGACTGAAAATTAATTGTTAAACCATTATTTACACACTGAATTGATGATGATTTTCCCGTGATTTCCCTATCATGACAAGGAACACAGGTCAACTGTGACCAGTCGACAGGATTTACCTACTCCTCCACCTTACCCCCTCTCGTTGGAGGTGCCTGTTTGTTCTAATTTCTAAGTTTGACAAACGGTAGCTGTATCATGTCTACAAGTGATTCTTACTTCTCCGTGGCACCTGATCCCATCTCTGATCTTGTCAGAGGTCCGTCTTTGCTCTTTTTTTTTTGTTTTGTATTGTTTCAGTTAACTTTTGAGTTGGACTACTGTTCGTTTTCACCATGTTCATAATACCAATATCAAAGTTATTGTAATTTAATTTGAAATATCATGATAATCTTTTCAAGATGCTTTCACTCTAAAAGATCGTATGAAATGGTTTATTGAATTACTTTCATACTTTATAAATATTATACATGATACTTTTATTTAGCTTTGTTCATCACGTTTGTGAATGCTAACAACATGGACACACTGAAATTCAGCACCCAGTGTAAAGAACGACAGTGTTTCCAATGTCAAGGGGACACAGAATTTTACTGCAACACGTGTGAATATGACCTGTGTCTACTGTGTAAAGAGAGACACGTCATTGATCTAGATACCAAAAATCATGATGTTGTTATTTACCGCGAGAAATACAAATACATCTACAGTCAAGAGACCTGTGTAAAACATCCAGAAAGCATCTACATATTTTTCTGTTACTCGTGTAAACTTCCTTTCTGTTTTAAATGTAGAGGACACGTAAACCACGCATTAATGGACATTGGAACAGCGTATAAGATGAATCGCTTTACATACAGACAAATTATTCACAACATCAGAAGTGAAACTATATATAAAAGCTTGTGTCTCCTAGTAGGAATCAAATCTGATATGAAAACCTGGCACTCGGAAGTGTACAACCGTCAATCATGGATTTTAAAGAGAGCCCAGAGACTGAAGAGCATCATTAACATAGAAATAAATGATGCTCAAATCAGAAATAGGAGTTACCCTCAAAGGTTACAAATCGTAATGTGGAACATAAACGCGTATCTTGCCATAATGGAGAAATATCAATACAGGTCTGAGCAGTCAGAAAGGAGACCTGTAAAATTCTTATTATTTATTAAGAAATTCTGTGTCTCCAAGAGAAGGAACACTCCCAGACTTACCCAGCATGTCCTGCCTATACTGACGAAGGAAATCAATTTCGAGGATCTGATTATAACTCTGATGAGTAGTTTCCAAATGATAAAAGGAACAGAAATGGTGGGGACGGGAAAAAGACAAGTAAATAATAAATATCTGCTAAAACCGATGTCTTCCCTAGTATTGCAAAGATCTTTGACAGCAAAAGGTGTTAGTTGTGTAAAACATATCACCATAAAGACATCAGGCCAAATATGGATTAATGATATTAACAACCTTAACCTAACAAACATAGTAGGAGACATACTATGTCATGTGCCAGATATAAGTAGTTATTGGGGAGTACACACAGTGAGCATGACCTCTGACCTTATTTATATAGGCAAAAATCATCACATTATCAAAATATCTAAAGATAACAGATCCAAGACATTAATAAAGAAAACCGAATCTTGGGAACCACAGTGTGTTTACTGCTCCGCTTCCAATGGAGATCTTCTGGTTGGGATGTGGAATACTGACACATTTCAAGGAGGGAAAGTAGTGCGGTATAGCCACACTATCCAACACATACAGACAATACAACACAACAGCAATGGTCACGAAATATACAGTTTTCCTAGATACATAACAGAGAACTGGAATGGAGATATTATTGTGTCTGACTTTCTCCGTCGTGCCGTAGTGGTGGTAGACTACGGAGGAAGACATCGCTTCTCCTACACAGGTCCTGAACTAGGAGTAATAATATCACCGTACGGAGTATGTACAGATGCGCTGTCACATATTCTTATTTGTGATCAATTCTCTAACACGGTTCAGATGATCGACAAAGATGGTAACTTTCTGTCAGTGATACTGACACAAGAAGACGGGATAAACAAACCATGTAGTCTCGATTATGATGATATAACTCATCTTCTTTGGGTAGGATCAATCAACAACAACAGCATATGTGTTTACAGACACATTAGCAGACATGAAGTTAAGCATATCTGAGTAAAGAACATTTCCCAAAGAAGTAAGATGCAAGAACAATTTTGAAAATGATTAAAAAACAAATTTGGTCAGAGCAAACACGGACCTTAGTGGTAGGATCAGGTGCCATGGAGGAGCGAGCATCTCTGTTTAAACCCGCCGTTTATTCCTTGTTATTATTGGAAAAATAACGGAAAAAGCCATCGACAATTCAGTGTGTAAATAATAGTCAAACAATTGGTGTGATAAATGTAATTCTGCAATTAACTCCGTGATAAAATGTACATGATGACAATGTCATTGTATCGACCGTAGAACTTACGATATGATTATTTTAATCGAGACTGCTGATATTCTTATTTATGAGCTTGTTTGTCATTAATATACTTCGTTAAAGATCTCGGAAAAAATCGAGGAGGAGTTAAAAACAAAAACAAACGATCGATTGTAAATTCACTTTATCTTTGGTATAATAAATGTTTTGTTAAGAAATCGTATGTACATGCATGTCTATTTAATACATGGATATATAAATCCCCCAAATGTCAAGAACGAATAATACAGCGTATATATGAAATGACATATAAACAATTTTATATTTAAGCATGAAAACGACTTACAATTGGACAACGCAACTGTGTCAAAGGCAGAGGATAATCTCATAAAGAAAACTTCATATTTCCTCTTTATCCTTCCATACTTTAGCATAAAAAAATGAAAGAAAAATTTAAAAAGAAAAAAAAAACTCATAGTAATTTAATATTTCATGGATATGATATACCTTTCTAGTAAATATTTGTTTTAAGCGATATTAAAGGTATAAAACTCATATTATAAACATTTTGTTGACAGATAATGCATAAGACAAAGCATTTTCTAGTACTTCCTGTAATGACCACATTTCCGGTTGGCACTACTCAGTGGCCCTTCTATGCAATTTATTATTAAAATTAAAAACAGGTATTTTCCTGTTTGAAAATTAATTAATTTGATTTGGTTACACCAACATTGTATTTCAATTCTTTTTGTGTTTTTTTTATTAAGAACATTTGGTACTCATTTCCCACAAAGTAGACAAAATCAAACATATAAAAAATTATTCAAAAATATATAAGAAATATTGAAAACACGCAACGAAAAATACAAACTGGCAAGCATACCGATATATCTATATAAAACCAACCTTTATATTTCTATCATAGGGTCAGGTGAAGTTAATATATAAATATATAATCATATATACACAGACTCAGTTTACATTTACATCAAGCTGTATCAGTTATGAAGATATCTAACATCCTTTCCATATAAAACCTGAAAACATGCAAAAAGACTTTACCCAAGAATATATGAAAAAGGTATGTATAGCAAAAATTACTTACTCATATACACATGTACTTACAGAATGTATACGAAAATACTATGCATCCGCTATTAAAGAATTTGGTTACATTTGTATTAACCTATACTTCAACAAAGCAAGAAAATAACAAGAGTTTTCAGACAGAGTATGAAGAAATAGCCAGGGGAGTAGATCGTAGGCTTGTGGCCTGCAGAGTTCGCCTGTAGTTCACGAGGAACACACGTTTCTGAATCGTCCGCTGTCAAAAGAAAATGTTTGCTTAAAATAAAACTTGATTTTCCTGACCTTGTTCATGCCGTTTTTTTTCTTATACGAATTCTTATACGTATTTCGTATGTTCTAAAATATTACATATACAATATCCTTCAGGAAAATGTTATTATATTCATTCAAAATACATGTATTTTCTTTTAAATACTACATTTGAAATTAATAATTTTATTATTTTTTCTTCAAATTTTGTATTTATAATGCTACAATATAAGATGTTAGTCTTCAGTTCTTTGTTGAATTAAGAACATGGTGACATTTAATTTCATTGATTTGGCCTAATTTCATTGCAAATAATGTAAATAATAACTTTCTAGAATATAAAGAAATTGTCAACTCTCTGTGATGTTCAAAAGTCTGCCCTTCTGAAACCATCCTTATTAATCTATACAAATACTTTTCACTTCAAATTCAATTTTTGTGCAAATTTGAATAAAAAAATTAAAACTACGCGGTGAAATTTATTCATTTTGCTCATTTAAACATGAAGCAAGTTGTTATTGTCAAATTCTAGGACAAGAGTTTGTTTGTATCATCTGTCCTTAAACGGGCATGGGCACAATTTCAACATAAAGTTGAAACTTTATTTGTCCATTTTTACAAATATTTATGAGGGTCTTTCTAATTATCATAAAAAATCGAATGTCAGTTGGCAAGATATAAGACAGATTTAGAGTTCCAAACGTTTGTTATGTAAACAAGGTCCGTGTCATGTTTTTTGTTTGAATAAGTGTATATAATAATATGTGGTCGTTCAAAGTAGATAATTTCAATAAAAAGGTCATTTTAAATACAAATCGACAGTTTCTATTGATCTGCCGAATTTTATTCTGTTATGAATAATATATTTTTATATGTGAACAAAAACAAGGCACGGGTCTTATTTACAATATGAAGAACTTTAAAATCTGTATCTCATTTGTTAATCAACAAATGATGTTCAAATTTTTGCTAATCATTTGATGATGCCTTACTTAGAACTTTTAAATATTAAAATTGATTGAAAAATTCAGTTGAAACTGTGCAACATTGCAGGTGTCCATGCCCCTTTAAAGTCTTACCGCCGTATCTTTGTGTAATTTTTTCACAGTCGTCGTTGTATTTTCCAGACAGATAATATTTTTGGAAGGCGGGATTCCACCAAAAAGGGAGGTCACTCTCCTTCTTGACCATCATTCCCACACCGCTGACGTCACATTTATACCTCCCTGGGAGAACCTCCAAATCGTCAAAACGAGTCCGCAGGGAAAACAGGGCGTCTGCCTTAACACAAACATTGATGTCAGATTAAAGACATGAGTAATTTGTGTGTAGCAATTAAAGCAAGTGACATTTAACACAATAATATAATATATTCTTGTCCAACAAAAAGTTTTTCGGAAAAATGTTTTAGTTTATCTTTCCTTGTCTGCTGTTTTTAGGGTCCCTTTTGAGATTGGGATTGAGATTTTGAGATGTTACTCGAAATAATCAGACATTAAATATTCCTTAAACTTGTAATGTACACTGAAGTCAATATTCTAGGGATTTTCTTAAAGTAGTTTAAACGCAATGAAACATCAATCGGCTCCCTTAGATAATATTCTCTTGTTTAATTTAATAAGTAATTACTCCGTCTTATAAATGAAACAAAATTAGGACTTTTAGATTTTATCCACGTTATTTTCCCCAAAACAACAATGTTACTTTTGCTAATTTAATTTTAAAGCCCTTGTTATCAGACCTTCATCCGAACAAACCTTAGTACCTACTCATCCAAGGATTCTAACTCACAAAATTTCTTAGATCATTTGAAAATTCAAATTAATACATAGTGTTTTGAAAACTGTTTTTTCTTAAACTGCAAAGCATGAGCTGCATTTTTTTTTTAATTTCATCTCTCCTAACGTTTTAAATTAAATGTATTCATCGAAGAAATTTGTTAAATAATTTTTGACTCTTTAATTTTTCCTTTTTGTCTTATTGATTTAATTTCTTTGTATTTTTCAAAAATACTTTTCCAAAATAAAGTAAATGTGAATGACAAACCTGACTGCGGTACTTGAACTTACAGTATAGTTTCGCAGCAGTTCTTTGGCTTCTGCTATTCCGGAAGCAACCACAACCTGTTTAGGCTTCCCGAGCCCGATCCTAACAGCACACTGCTCATTTGTAAAAGCTCCATTCAGATGCACTAAAACAAATAATCGTTGTTAAATTTGGACAAATTCATACCGTTTTAAGCATATTTTGTTTTTTAGAAGGATAAGCATCTTCTTTCCTATTAAACCAATCAGGTAAAAGTCTTACTGACCTATTACTGCGCTCTGTAAATTTCGTGGATGAAAATTCCTGGGGTTTCCCTTTAGAACCGTGAATGTGGAGGTGGTAATTCGTATAGGATCAGTAAACTGTAACGCATTGACACGCTCCACTGAACTTACATATCCAGTACATGCATCAAACCATCGTTCCATTAAACCTGGCAAATGTAATTAGACTTTTAAAAAGACATATGTTGGGCATTTCTTAGAATTTTGTTGTCAACAGATTTTTTAAAAAAAATATATCGAACATCTGATTCACAAAATCCAAGCAGTTGACATTTTTCTTTTCCAGGACGAGTTCTTCTGTGTGATTGATTTGTTTTTATAGCAAGCAACACTTTAAAAAAAATTCAGAAATTAAAAAAAAATATATAATATTAACTTAATGTTCTCTTTGTTGAGGTACATGTAGTTTTAAGGTGAGTCGTAGAGGTTTTTTGTATTTCCTTATTCCAAATTTCATTCCTTAGCTTCTTACCCTCGCCTGGAAAAAATCGACCTTCTAGTGTTTCTACACATGCACCGATAGGAGCTACAGTCATCGCACATTTCTGATCGGCAATGTCACATACTGAAAAAAAAGGATTGAGTCAAAGACTTTTTAGGATTGTTTTATGCCAAGGCAAATGATTTTATTCAAATAATATTTTATATATTTATATAAGAATATAAATATTTTGTCAGGATAGACATGAATTTTTCGAAATTGTATATGATACTAAAACCTTTGACTTACCTGCCTGCACCAGGTCCAGATCCGCGCCTTTTAATATCCCATCACTGTCACTTTTTAAAGGAAATAAAAAAGAAATGAATTATTCGCAATTTATTATATATATTTAGAAATTTTGTGTCAGGATTGCTGCATTTGATTTATTATGTAATTAGACACATGTGCAACCTCTTTCATTAAAAGAGCCTAATTGAGTTGAATGATCTCTGGTAGGCAACCAACAGAAAAATAATTTAAGAGTGCAAAATAAAAAATGCAACATTTATTTGCAGATTACAGGCTTGGCTAACTATTTAAGCACATTAAAAATATATTTCAAACAATCAAATTATTTTGAACGCCATATAGATTATACAAAAATGATTCATTCTTATTAATTATCTTAGAATATATATAAAATATATACAAGTTTATGTTTACTTACATAAAATTCCACGGTCTTCTATTTCCACTTACTGCAAATACCCAGGTTTTAGCCTGTAACATTGATTAAGGTTGGTTGTTTATTGTTATTTCTCTTATGATATCATTTACTTTTTAAGACGAATAATCTGTAAATGTAAGTATTGTAAAAAAAAAATAAATAAAAAAATATTAATTTTTTCATCAAATTCCTTGCAACATATGTCCAAAGAGTTCTGAAAAATATCATTTTCGCAACATTTAAAAAAAAATTATTACTGATAGTAAATATTTAATGTTATATAGGGCAACAGGTCATTTAACCGTGACCTCTAGAAACACTGGAAATGGGATTGTATGCCTAAGTGGAATAAATATGTCATGTTTTGATTAGGCATTCCTCGTGAGTTGTACATAAAACAAATGGAGAAAACGAATAGTATTACAGATCAATATAAAATAGGAGCAAATCAAACAAAAACCTCCAAAACATCAGTGGTTGGATCAGATGCCATGGAGGAGTGAGCATCCCCTGCCGACCGGTCACACCCGCCGTGCGCTTCTTGTCATGATCGGGAAATAATGGAAAAATCCATCGCCAATTCCGTGTATATATAATGGACTAACTATTAGTATGAAAAACATCAGACGCATTTGACTCAATGATAAATTGTATTTGCTGACAAGGTCATTGTATCGACCATAGAACTAACAAAATTATGACTTTTAACGAGACTGCTGATACTCTTGTTTCATCAATTGTTTTGTCAATAATGTACATCATTTTAGAATATTGATCAGGCAGACAGAAAAATCGGTTTTTAAATAAACATAAAGGCAAGTGCGTTGCAATAAGTATAAAATCCGACAACCTACGACCCAGCAATATGTGTAACGTACTAAACGGTTCATCATATCGATATATCGACAGTAGAGTCAAGAAAATGCCAGACAGTTGTCTGGGAAATTGATATTTTATTAATTTTCCGTGCAAATATATTATATGTTTACAAATAAAAAACTGAAATTCATATGGTATCAAGATGTCCTTTTTTTCATGTATTTAATCATTGTCAGAGAAACTCCAATTAAATCTTAACGTTGCGAAACTTTCTGATTTTTTTTTAGAAGATGTCATTTCTTTAAGATTTAGGACGACGTTGCCTATTTTTCTTCGACCTTTCATTTTTGCTATGCAAAAGTAATAATACATAAATTAGAATACTTGGTACATTGCTGTAAAAGGTAAAAAATGGAAGCATTTAAACATATTTAACCGACTGACTGAAAATGTCAAATTAAAATATAGTTATATAAATGACATTTATTAAATGTATCTGATGCTTATTCAAACTTTTGACTTTAGTCTTTAACTTAATTTTCAAAATTTTGCTAAACATGACATATTCTTTTAAATTCTATTAAACAGAAATAATATCTTTTTATTTTGTTGGACAAAGATAAAAAATGTAATATCTTTAAAAATGACGAATAGAGATAAAAAATAATTATCATTTTTAAAGCCAATTTTAAAAAATAAAACAGGAGGGTCTAAACACATGAAAAATGAGATCAGATGCAAAAAAGCGTAATTATCCAATGTATTCCAATCACACCCCACGTATGCTCCTGGGTAAACGGATATAGGTATCAAAAATCTCAGATGTAAATAATGGCCTATTAATTACTATTAAAATTGTAAGTAAGCATTTGAGATAGTGATAGGCAACATTTGCACACAAAATATGTGTACATGTATCGCTCTTGATGACTTCAAACATAACTGTTGATATCCTGTATTCATCAAAGTTTTAATAAATAGTTTGTCCCTTTTTAAACAAAGCTTGATATATATATATATAGGATCTCCCATGATTTGTAGTTGGATATGATTTTTATCCAACGAGTTGTGTGATTTTTATCCCCGAGCCTTGGCGAGGGGATAAAAACACACAACGAGTTGGATAAAAATCATATCCAACTACAAATCATGGGAGATTCTTTTTATCCCATGTTTAATACTTCACAACTGATGTTTTACACTGTTTTTATAAGGGACTCCGCTATATTTTACTTCATCACGCTAACGCAAAAACCATTGTGACGTCATAACTGCACTTAAGTGTGGGATATGAAAAATTTATCCAATGAGTCATATCCACGGGATAAAGGGGTAAACATGGGATAAAACGTAATACATACCTGAATGCTGAGACTCAGTGAGGCCAGAACAGCGAATCCACAGAGTAACCAGACGTCCATCTTAAGACAAATATCAAAAGAAAAGAATTCTGTAAAGATTCAGATTCATCCACAAAACATCATTGTAAAAATTATTCACCTTTTAAAGTTTATTATGTTTACATGCATTCCCCTATTTTTGCCGCCACATGCATTGTTATGTTGCATATTTTTCACACGATTGTCAAAACTCTGTCAGAATTCTAGAGATGTCCTACTTACCATTGCTCGGTGTTGTTTACCTGGAGATTTTAGAAAATATAAAACACGTGAGTTGTATTTAAATACGTTACCTTTTAAGTGGCCTTTTTAATAATTAAAGTTTCGTCACAAACTACAGTTCACTGCATATTAAACGATTGTTTAATCATTTTGAGGAATTCTAAAAATTATACAATATACTTAAAATTTTATACACGAAAAAGCTATAAAATTCATTTATATTTCGATATTTTTTTTGAAAAACCAGAAGTCTCTGTCGAGACTGAAGATCTACTGGTTTGTACTTTTTGTATTTTTTAGTAACCACGGCAACACCATTCATCTTAATCAAAAAACCGATACACAGAATTAAGTACCTTAAAGTAGTCTACTCTGTACCAAGTTAAATTGAAATCATATCAAATCTGTAGTAGACGTAGCATTTTAAAAGAATTTCACAGGAATGTCTATTTTAAGTGACAACGGCAACACCATTCATCGAAATCAAAAACCGATACTAAGAATTATGTATCTAAGTAAAGTCTACTTGTGTGCCAAGTTATATTGAAATCAGATCAAAACTATAGGAGGAGTGGCATTTTGAAAGAATTTCACAGAAATTTCTATATTTAGTAACCTCGGCAACACAGTTCTTCGAAATCAAAAACAGATACACAGAATTATGTATCTTAGTGTAGTCTACTTGTGTGCCAAGTTATATTGACATCAGACCAAAACTGAAGGAGGGGTAGCATTTTGAAAGAATTTCACAGAAATTTCTATTTTTAGTGACCATGGCAACACCGTTTTTCGAAATCAAAAACCGATACACAGAATTATGTATCTTAGTGTAGTCTACTTGTTTGCCAAGTTATGTTGAAATCAGACCAAAACTGTAGGAGGAGTAGCATTTTGAAAAATTGTTTACAGACAGACAGACAGACGGACAGACGGACGGACGCCGGATGCATTACTATCGCATAAGCTCTTCTGGTCTCTGACCAGTAGAGCTAAAAAAAAAACCCAGTAAGTTTAATTCAGGATTAGAATTAAACGCTAATTCCGTTTTATTCTATACATTTTAAACCATTATATTAATATATATTTACATTACACGTGTGTTTTTCATCTAAAGTGAAATGAAAATATTACATTCAAAACACCATAACATGGAAAAGGTGTCAAAAGGATACAGCATACATTTATTTTGGCGTCCTAATCGTTGAACGCCGAACAAATTCAATGTCATAAGCAAAAAAAAAAAAAAAAAAAAAAAAATCAAATTGAGCTGAAGCTGTCGGGTTGCCTCCTGATTAAATAGTAGCTTACAGGAAGTATACTACTGGGATTTTAAAATCCAAATCACATTTGCAGTCAATGCAGAGAGATGAAAAAAGTAAATATAAGCAATACATTATTGTTTGAAAGATAATAGTTTCATAACTGAAACGGTGTACATGTGTGCAAACAAATTTTCACAACGCGCTAACGTTCGTTACTCAATTTGTTTGTACACACCGTTGCAGTAATGAGACTATATCTTTCAAGTCATAGTGATTCATTGCTTAAAGCAATATGAGCTGCATTTTTGAAAATTTTATTTTGATGCTAAAATATGTTATTATGATTAATTTGTATGTAACTTAAACGTTTGTGATCAATTGGGCTAAAATAAATGAGAAGAACGACTTCTTTATAAAATACAATATACAGTTTTATATAAGAATTCTTTATTGTACAGGACGACAATAATGTAATTTTGATTCAATCGAAGCCTATAAATAGTTCTTGCATCGTAAATATGAACAGGAGTAGTTTATTGACATTATTTTTTTCTGTCATTGAAATACATGTAGTTCTATACAATTTTGCAACAAAAAATTCCGACATCAAAGTTGCAGCTCATATTGCTTTAAATAACGAAAAAAGTGGATAATTAAGTATATGGAGATTTAATTTCATCTTTAATATTGATTTTAAGACATTTTTCATTATAATGACTTTCTTCATGACTGAATAAAATCACAAGGCTCTTAAATGCACAATAAAAGGATAAATATATGCAGAGGAAACATCTGGAGGTAACATACAATATTTAAAGTCAAAAGTCCATAAAATAATACAAAAAAGGAGCACAGTAAATATGGACTTCAGAAATATCAGGGGTGCGATAATGTGCCATAAAGGAGTGAGCATCCCCTGTCGACCAGTCACATTGACCATGTGCTCCTTGTCATGATCGGGAAATAGCTTTAAAAAAAAACCCACGATTCACTGTATAAATATAAGGCTAATAATTAGTATGAAAAACGTCAGCCAGCATTTGACTCAAAAATAAATATTATTTGCTGACGTCATTGTATCGTCTATAGAACTTACGAAATTATGGTTTTTAAATGCACAAGCTGTATTCGGTCGGAAAATTCATTTAAACAATACAAATCAGTGGCATAGCAAACGTAGACGATACAAATCTCATACTCGGGGTTAGGGTTAGGGTTAGATTCATACAAATCAGAGGCGGGATCGGGTGTCATAGAGAAGTGAGCATCCTCTGCCGATCGGCCTCACCCACTATGTACTTCTTGCAATGATCGACAAGTACAGTATAATAACGTATTTTCGAGGAGTAATATTTTCGTGGTTTGAGAAAAAAATGGGGATTAAAATTGGTGGCGAAAGAATTATTTTGCAGTATAGTGATCGAAATTGTACCCTTCGTGGTAGTAATAAATTCCTAGGACTCTTCAAACCCCGAAAACAACGAAAATTAAACCGCCACGAAAATAAGTGATTTCACAGTATTGGAAATTCTAGCGACAACTCAATGTGATTGATTGATTGTATACTGTTTAACGTCCCTCTCCAGAATATTTCAATGTTATGGAGACGTCACCATTGCCGGTGATCTAAAATTTAGTATGAAAATCGTCAGTCTGCATTATAATTATTCATGATCATTTATAAACAGTGTTGACGGAAGACGGAACATTTGAATTGACAACAAATTTCTGTATTCAACGAAAACACCCTGTCCTCTCACAACAAATATGAATAATAACACTATGCTCCCGATGGTAACACAATTCTGGAATGGGACGTAGACTAGCTTAGTATAAACGTATCCTTGACAGCGCAATAGGTTTGAGCTAGGTTTACAAACAGACATACAGGACGAAAAATAAAATACCTCCCGGATCCTTCGATGGCATAAAAATGAAGATGACAAATACTGATCGATCTTCAAAATCTCCAAAGAATACAAATTGATGGAAAGAGCAAAAACAGGAAATGATGAAATCCCAAGGGTGGAATCAGGTGTCTTAGAGGATTAAGGATTCCTGTTGACTGGTTATACCTGCCGTGAGCTCCACGCATGAATCTAGTAGACGGAACATTCCGTAATCAAATTTTGTATTTACTATAGAACATGGTAAAAATACGAACCAATGATACATGTAGGTAACATTTATTAATAAGGCAATAATATTGACCATAAGAACTGTTCGTTATCTCCTTGTATTTCATTCACGAAATTCCGACTTTTAGTAAGGTTGTTGATAAAAAGTAGTTATATTGCAGAATTTATTTGATAAAATGAATTATGTCAGAAAGGACAGTAGACTGGATCGGTTTCAAAATTGATTGTAATCAGCGCTTGCCCTCATAATAAAGCAAATAAAACATGTATAACATAATTCTACATGTACCAACATTTTAGAAAAAAATGTTCAACATCCTGTAGTTTTATTGAATTCTGAATTTGTAATACAAATAATACTCGACTGCAAGCCTTCAATACAAAACGTCTGTTTGTGTTAAAATATACTCGGATGGACAGAGGGGTTCTAATAATATAAGATGTGCCCATTTTCGTATAAAGTGATAAATCATGAATTATTAAGAAAAACTCGTTGTCTTTCTTCATTTATAAGCCTCACTAAGTACCCCAATGAGCAAATAGTAACGCTTGAATATTGTCATACATGTATTTAAACTTATCCACGACAGGCGTTAATACTGCACAGATATATTACAAATACCAATAAATTAATTTTGTTTGTAACGCGTCATTTAATCGGATAAAAAATTCATCTAAATTGTATTATCTGCTTTGCCTACATCACGATGACTTACTTTAAAAACGTATCAATCCGCTTGACGCAACTTTTTTTAATATGAACAATTTGAAGTCGTTTTTAAGGTAGACATTGTCCTGTTTCATATACTTAAGGTAGAATGCCACACCAATTTTTTATTTTATAGATCTTTGAGCCCTCCTTTTTAAACAATGGTTTCAGCATTGAAAGGCCAATATTAGCTCTAAATTATTTTATATGAATTTTTGTATTTTATCAAAGAAAATGAAAAAAAATTATTTACATCCGAATTAGATGCTTTCTTGTAAAAAATTTGCTGTAAATGAATGCATCACATGAATCCCTTATAAAATATGTAAAGAAAGTCTGGTTAGACTTTAAAATTTTTTTTTATAAAAAATTATTTATGAAAATAAAACAAATTAGTTGTGAATATTTTTTAAACCTATGGTTAAAAACACCATAAAACTAGTCACAACTAAGGAGAACATGTTTGTTAATCATATTTTTAAAAGAAATTGAAACGAAATGAGAAATTTTAGAAAAATTAATTTTTTTAATATTTGGACCTAACCCGATCAAAAATAAACTGATCCCGATCAAAATTAACACAAAATGAATAAAATGCTAATTTATTGCCTCTTCATGTATTTACAATGAAGAAATCTGTTTTATTGTCAAGTTCTGTAATGTTTTAACTCTTATAACACCTAATCAGACTAGTGTTCTTAGGAAAATGTTATTTATTTCCAATAATTGTACAATTATGGTCGGGATCGGTTTAATTTTGATCGAG